TTACCCCAGTGCTGATTTACCCCAGTGCTGACTTACCCCAGTGCTGACTTACCCTCAGTGCTGACTTACCACCAGTGCTGACTTACCCCAGTGCTGATTTACCCCAGTGCTGATTTACCCCAGTGCTGACTTACCCCAGTGCTGATTTACCCTCAGTGCTGATTTACCTTCAGTGCTGACTTACCCCAGTACTGATTTACCCCTGTGCTGACTTACCCCAGTGCTGATTTACCCTCAGTGCTGATTTACCCCCAGTGCTGAGTTACCCCAGTGCTGATTTACCCCAATGCTGATTTACCCTCAGTGCTGACTTACCCCAGTGCTGAGTTACCCCAGTGCTGACTTACCCCAGTGCTGATTTATCCCCTGGGCTGACTCCCCTGGTGCGGAGTGTCCTGTTGGCCCACTGCTATAGAACTTTTCTGGGACTGCATCCAAGATAAAAAACATTTTTCAGAATCTTTTTGGACCTGTAATTCCAGGCCAATGAAATGCAACCAAAGTACCAGATGGAAGTTTCCAGAAGCCTTCCTCAGAGGCTGTCCTCGTCTGGTGCTGCCTGTGGAGTGGTCAGAAGTCGTGAGCACAGGTGGAGCACGCCCCTGGACCTGCCCTGAGCGGGATCCTGAGCCCGCCGACCGCCCCGTGGTGGTGGACCAGTGACCGCTGCCCGAGGAAGGCATGGCTTGCCTCAGCCAGTGTCAGCCTGGACTCCTGCCACCCGCAGCCACGTCGGATGGCAACTTCCACGGTGGCATGTTCTCCTGATCCCCATAAAGGTCACGTGACACTGCCAGGGGACTTGTGGCCCTCAGTTACACATCAGGGCAGCGAGGGTGCCCTGGGCTAAGCAGGTGGACCCAGTGGGTCACATCAACACTCACTGAGAATGTTCCGCAGCTCGAGCAGGAGTGGAGTGTCCAAAAGCCATTTGCAGTGTGGACAGACACCCCTGGCCACTGCCGGCCCTGAGGATGCAGAGGCCGTGGGCCAGGGAGTGTAGGCTGCCTCCAGAGAGATGGGCCCTCTGTGACCACAAGGGCCTGAATTCTGCCAGGGACCCAGATGAGCCCAGCAGCAGGTCTCCTCCAGAGAGGAGCCGACCCGGCCAGCCCCTTGACTGTGGCCTTGTGAGCACATGGCAGGGCGTCCGCAGTGCCCACCTGGCCTGGAGCCTGGACGGTGGAGCTGCCACTGGGGGACCAGGAGCCCCAATATCTGTGACCAGGGAGCACTCTCCACCCAAGACGCGGGCTGCTTTGACAGATCCGGCTTCTGTTGCTCCCCCAAATGTCAAACTGACGCTGTGACCTAGCATTAGAATGACACTCTGTTTTGATTCCCCTGACGTCAGGATTTAAGTGGACTAGAAACCAGCAAAGGCTTCTGTCTGGTCCCAGGATCCAGGGGAACATTTTGGAGATTTTCCCTCTGGGTGGGCTAGGCCACGCTTGACCAGGGTCCGGTTTCCTATTAAGCTGCAGAAGTGAGAAATGGCCGCATTCACAGAATCAGTAAATGCCACCAAGGTAAAGGTCAGACCACGATGACATAAATGCGGCATCTCCACGGGGCAGCGCAGCGTGCTTTAGAGAAGAGCTCCCGCGGCCCTGCAGCGCTCCTCAGGAGCCTGTTTTGAGAAGCGGAATCCAACTAGGCCCTGTGGGCTCCGGCTTCCCACCTGCGGCTGCTCTCCCAGGCCAAGCCTCGGGGGCCAGCGTGAGGCCTGTGGCCGGCTCCAGGCTCAGGATGTGCAGGCCCTCCCGCAGGCTCTCAGCAGCCCACCAAGCCAGCTGCCAGCCAGCGCCTCTCCTGTGGCTACCAGGGACGGAGAAACAAAGGAAGGGGGACCTGGCAGATCCCCCTGTGACCTGGAGCAGGCAGTGGAGGGAATGGAGGGCACGGCCGCAGCCCCACCCTAGGAGCCTGCTGTGTGTCCTCAGGTGCAGTTTTGTCCTCTCTGAAGCCTCAACTTCTTCGTCTGTAAACAGAAACAGCAGGGAAGACAAGACGCACATGCCCTCCAGCCTGCCTCCATGTATCCTGTCACTCTGGCTCCGCCCAGCCTGGCTCTCATGGCCAGCTGGCATCTAGGAGCTCAGGGTGACACCTTTGTACCCCTCCACAGCTGAGAATCGAGCTCAGTGCAAACCCTGCCGTTCACTGCTCTGTCGGGGCACCCAGGCCAACAAGGGCCGCCGAGCAGGCACGGAGAGCCCCTGCTCCGGAGCCAGGGCATGGGCTCCAACCCAGGGCTGGGAGCCACTAGATGGGTGACCCGGGAACGACGCCCTTCTCCATCCCTTGGATTCCTCCTTTGTTCAAGAGGATAGTGACAGAGTCTCCTCCAGGGTCACACCGGGGTGTGGGGACAGCAGGCGCACAGCAAGTCTCCCTCAGTGCTGGCCAGCAGGCAGTGCTGGTCCTGGGCGGTGGTGGACCGAGGGCAGAGTGGCTCCACAGGGTCTCCCAGGAGCCCGGCACAGCGGGCCCCAGCACCCTGGTGTGCGTCACCGTCTCTGCAGGGAGGGGCTGTTCCGGTGCCAAGTCCTCCGGCCAGGCTGACTCGCTGACCCCCTGACAGCGCTGAGCAGAAAGCAGAGGAGCACAGGGACATGCCGCTAGTGGCATTTCTACCATCAGACGGCAGCGGCAGCTTGGGTATGGTGTGACAGCGCCCCCCCCAGTCCAGGGGCACACGATGGGAGGCCTGGTCCCCATCGTGGTGGTATTAAAGGTGCTGGAAACCTTAGAGGTGGACTGGGAGTCCTCGGGTCACCGGGGTGTGCACGCGGAAGCCAGCTCTCTCCACCCTGTGGGCTCTCACGAGAGACTTATGGCACCAGGAGAAAGCCCGCCCTCCCAGCTCTCTCCTGTTCCTGTCCATCACTTGCTCCCACTCACGTTCCCACCATGGGTCCACACTACCAGGTGATGCAGTCAAGGAGTGGCAAAGCCCTTGCTGTGCAGTTTGGACTTCAAATCTCCTGAATTATGAGCCAAGCAAACCTCTTGTCTTCATAAATATCTTTTGTCAGGTATTTCATTATAGTGATGGATAACTGACTAATATGCAGACACAATAAACATAATGTTAAGAATATAGACAATAGTGAAATCACTAGGAAGCCATAAGCTTTAAGTATATCACCTTTGTTTTTAATATAATTGTAAATATAATACAAAATTCTAATAATTGCTAAGTTTAAATTTTAATAACAGGCTCTCAGGCTTTTCTGAGAATTTAACCATTTGCTCTTGCGAGCGGGTATAAGCTAACTGCGGCACACAACTGACTGTACACATGTAATTCTTCCCATCACTCAGGTGTGCACGCTCCCAGCCCTCAGGAGAATGAATAGAAACACGAGAGCTTGCTCAGAAATGTAGTGCAGACCACCGTCCAGGCAAACACTGCAGTCAGAGCCCAGGAGGTAACCCGTGGCTTCCCGGCCGACACTTGGCCAATCTGGGTGAACGAGGCCCCCGAGGGAGAGCTGGAGTCCCCGACTGTACTGGACGTCACTGTCTCAATACTCCTGGGAAGAGACGGGATGCTAGCCTAGACCCTGGGAGCTCTGGAACGGGTGATCATTTAGAAACAAGACTTGGGGGCTGGGCTGGAGGGACGAGCGTAGCTGGATGCACCGCCCAGCGCCACTGTGGTGATGGTGGTCACAGTGCTGGGTGTGTGCTGCCCGCTGCCCAGCCCTCCTGCCCACAGCTCACAGGAAAAAAGACAGTCTGACACTCAGAGAAATCCGTCTCTCCTGGTCACATTCCTTCGCTCCACTGATTCAGCCCGATCTCAGTCTCTCGGTTACCCTGGGCCGTTTCCTGGAGCAGGTCCACCCCAGTCCCGGGCATCGCCTCGAGCACCTGATCTTCTTGAGACTGTCCCGGGTTAGCCCTGAACACGCAGAGGCTCAGAGACCCTCACCCAGGTAGAGACCAGTGCCCAAGGCCCCCTAGGGCCCCCAGCCCGTGCCCCAGGGCTTCCGCCAGCTGGGAGAGCCCAGGACGCCCATGTCCCCATCCCTCAGGTCGTGAGCATGAAGAGCAAAACGGACCCCGGGGCCCGAATTGGAAATGGAGAGGCCCCTGCAGGTCCTCATCCCTTCCGGAGGACGTCCTGACGTGGCCCATAAACGTCGACCCCAGTGGGCAAAGAGGACCTTGAACCGGGCCAGCACCCCTCTGGGCCCCTTCTGCCTGCTCCTCTCCCGCCAGCCTGCCCGGGATCTAGCAGAGGGAAGTAACTGTTAGAGCCCACGTGCTGGACGCCTCCAGGGGCTCTCCACCCAGACCACGGACAGGGGAAGACGCTCACCTGCACCAGGAGGAGGGACCTCTGAGCTCTCTAATGCCCCCCAAAGACTGAGCTTCTAGGGACAGCCCAGGCAGCACTGGTCCTTGCTCTCCTGGTCCTCCAGCCCCTCAGTTCTCCTCAGCTCTCTTCCCCAGGCCCCCACACCCACCAGGCTCCCCTCCCCGTGCCCCTGACTGTCATCCGAGCTGACCCACTTACTCTACCAGCACCTCAGAGGCAAATCCCTCCCCCAAACTTTGAGTGTGACGTTTTCTTCCACCGGGTTTCGTTTCTAAGTCTCAGCTGGGCTCTTCTGCATTCTGAAGTGCTCCTGCCTGAAGGTTCCTAGTCCTTCCTCCAGTGGCATCCAAGTATGGTCCCTGCCTGGTGCAGAGGACGGCCACCTGCCAGGCCACGGATCTGGACCGATTCCCCACCAACACACCTGGCTTTGAGAAGGACAAGTAGCCAGGCGCAGTGGCACTTGCCTGGAATACCTGCAGCTCAGGAGGCAGAGACAGGAGGATCACCCGTTCACAGCCAGCCTCAGCAACAGCGAGGTGCTAAGCAAGTCAGGGAGACCCTGTCTCTAAAGAAAACATAAAATAGGGCTGGGGATGGGGCTCAGGGTTGAGTGCCCCTGAGCTCAACCCCTGGTAAGCCCCTCCCAAGGACTAGATGCTGGGACACGGGCCACACAGGGATTCTGAAGCCCAGAGGGGTGGAGACGTCGCTCTCCTTCAGGCGGCCATCCAGGTAAGTGGCAGGTTGGTGGCTCATTCAGGCCCGTGGCATCACTGAAGGGTGTGGTCCGTGTGCACAGGAGGAAGACGGGCGACCGCATCTGGGCTGCCACCCGTGTGACAGAGGGTCCTGGAGGAGCAACTTCGGTGTCCCCAGGTGCCAGCACAGCAGTCACTGTCACTTCTGCTCACGTCCCCTGGAGAGGACCGAGCCCCATGGCCACACCTGACCACAACAGAGGCTGCGAAGGAGGGGCGAGGCAGCCACCCAACCGTCTGGTCATCTCCGTGAAGAGCAGAGAACAGGTGACAGAAACAGGTCTCTGTGACAGTGTTCAAGGGCACGTTGTGCCATGAACAGGCCACTGTGGCCCACCGTCTCCTGACTGTGCGGCCTTCACCTGCTGTGGACGTGGTGGTGTGGTCTGCGTCTTGCTGGTGGGGGGCAAGACGTGGACAGTGCCTGGCACGCCGGGGAGCGCGGCCCGGGCCCCTGCCGCGGACACTCTGTCGTTCCTGGGTCTTGTTGTTCCCTTCTTGGATACCCGTCCCCTGGAGTGTGGTTCCTGCTCTGACCTTCTGTGACTTTCCTCCTGAGCTGCACAGGGTGGGCTGCTGTGCCTCCCTCCCTGGGGGCGTCACCGCGGCGCCCTGCCTTCTCGGGCGGGTGCTGCAGACCACGGGTGCGGAGGGACTGGCTGGCTGTCCGGCAGGATTCCTGTTTAGACTGACTTTCTCTGACGTGACCTGATTTCCCTGCAGGGTCTCCACAGATGGCAGCCCCCCAGGCCCCAGATGATTTCCAGTCTCCCTTCAAGGAAAGGGCAACCCGAGGGGGGCCTTTTAACTCCCCACCGTCCTGCGGTCTCGGTTCCTGTTTCAGACGGGACGCCATCCAGTACTGTGTCTGCCCTCCCCCAGGCCCCCCAGCCCAGCTGCCACCCCCTCCCCAGGGTGGCTGCCCCTCCCCGGCACCTGAGGGCCTGCTCCCTCTCTGCCAGCTCAGTCGAGTGTCTGAATACCATCTTGAGCGTCCCGGGCAGGAGTGGGAGGGCCCACATCTGCTCTGTCTGCCACCCTCCTCACACACCTGCTCTGTGCCTGGTGACAGAGAAGGATCCCTCGGGCCGGGGGGAGAAAAAGGAACTCTGCATTTATTTGAGAGGAATGTGCACATCAGCTGCTTGGGGTGACCTAGGGAGAAGAAAGGTCACCCTGACCCCCGCTGCAGGGGCCTCCAGAACCTGCCCTCCCCACGTCCCACAGTGTGCCGTGTCCTGCCTGACGGCCGACCAGCCTCCCCAGGGAAATAGAAGTTCAGGGAACTGTCTGTGTTGAGGGCCCTAGAAGCAGAAGAATTAGGGCCAGAAAAGACACCAAAAAATGCCGGGATTGGGAGGTAGCCCAGTGGAGAGCACTTGCCTGGGGCGAGCACTAGGACGTCCTGTGGTCCTTCTTCAGAATCCAGGCTCTAGCCTCAGAGTCCAGTTGGGAAGTAAGAAAGGCAGCCAGAGGGGACCTGGGACAGCGCGGAGGTCAGGTGACTCACAGGAGCAGCACAGCCTGTGGGTGGGCAGATCCAGAATCCCTGCTCCTGACTCTCAGGAAGTGGGGCAGACAACAGAGACTCAGGTAGAGGGGTAAGGGCCACTTCCATGCCAAAGGGACTCAACTCAAGAAGACTTTCCCTCCAGAAGAGAACAAAGGGAGGCGGGGACCACAAAAGGCGCATTTCTTTAAATAACCCAAAAGGAGACAGTAAAACCTGGTGACATGCAGGAAGACGGTGCACCCCACAGTGCTCAGCCAGTGGGAGCCGGGGAGAGGCCTTGCACACCAGAGGAGCAAGTGCTGCTGGTAGCCCTCTGGGTGCTCTGCTCCCCAGACACCAGATCTTGAAGTCACTGAAGCCTGGTGGTTGGTTTGCCGTGCTGTGCCCCATGTCCTAGGACCGTTCTTCGGGTGTGGGTTGGGTGTGGGCAGGTGGGCGTGTTCCTCGCACTGAGCCAGGCCAGGCCCTGAGTTCCATCCCCAGTCCTGAAAAAGAAAAAATGCACACAGGGAAGGGGCCATGTCCAGGTCCCAGGGTCAGACACTGGATGAAGGACTGAGTGGACTGTGGCCCAGGAAATACCAGAGTGAAAGACCAGAGGAGACCTGAGGGCCACCCCAGCACTGGAGCCTGGGGCACCCCAGGGCCTTGTCCCTAGGGTGCCCTGGGGGTCCTTGACAGGTGGACAGGGGGACAATTGTTGTTAATAAGTGTCACTACAACTCACGCAGCACGTCACAGCCCAGAAAACATCACGTCTAGACAAGCGTCCCACCAGAGTCCTGTGGCAGGAGCACCCTGTGAGATCTTACTCACCGCCTGGAAGCAGATACAGCCACGCGCTGCCGGGAGGGACCACAGTGACGGACCCCACACACGACAGGGTCCTGCAAGACGCAACGGAGCTCAAGATCCCTGTGACCTGGAGATGACACACCGTCACCATGCCGTCGGGCATTACTGATGTGACACGCCCACTGCCAGTGCCACCAAAGCAAGGCACTGAGAGCCAGCAGGGGCCAAGGTGTGACCAGCGCTGAGCTGCTGTGCTGCCGCTGTGGGGGGCCCTCCTGGACGTTTCGCAAGTTTCAGAGGGACCTCTGCTTACGAGAATCAAGGCTCGCTCTGAAGTGCGCACGCTCTGCCAGCCACAGCCTCCAGTGTCTCGTGTGTGCTGCCTCCTGGGCTGGCATCAAAGGCCACACCAGGGGACTGCCTGGACGTCTGGGGCCCTGCGACATTCTGGGCACTCCCTATCTCCTGCAATTATGCCATCGCCTGAGGATGGCATCCCACAACACAGCCGTCCTCAAGAGACGCGGAGGTGTACCCTTTCCTTGTGCACAGCCTTCCTGTAGCTAATGTTACGTTTTTAGATTAAAAATATTAAAATCCTAAGCTACGACTCCTGCATTTGGATAAATTCTTCAGAATCAGGCTTTTTAAAAACTTCAGGATCTTTTTAAAAAAATCGATACCAAATGGCTGTTTATCGGCCTAAACAGAAAGAGGACCCACCAAAGCTGTTTCTTCCAGAAACAAGACGCTGCCCACAGCCCAACTCACACAGCTCAACACCAGCACCCTCAGAAGAGCCCTTGTCCCTGCCCCAAGCCCGCGGGTTCCCACATTTTGACAGGCAGTCTCAACACACCCCATACACACTCAGGAACTTTAAAGAGTATGATGTGCTGGGCAATTATGATATATTATTACTTTCATTTTACAATTTTATAAACTGCTCATTTCAATCAAAAGCATCCTTTTGATGCGGAGCACTGGTAAGCCTCACAAATGGGTAAACTGAGACTCAGAGATTCAAGGCCTGGCTGGGGCCGCTGGGTGAGAGAAGCGGGGTCTGCTCCTGGTCACACCTCTGCACGGATCAAGCAGATCCTACTTGGTAATAAGTCAAAGGATGACCTCAGGTGCCGTCTGCATTTGATGGGCCCATTCTTCTTGCTTATGGTTGTGAAATAGCACACGTCAGTCAATAAATGAAAAGTGGAGTCCTGGGTGTCAGGTTCTCACACTGGAGAGGCACCCCGACTTCAATGCTGCAAACCCCCCAGAGCCTCTAGTCCAGGAGCTGACTCGGTGCTTCTCTCCCATGCCCCGGACTCTGGGCCATGGCTCTGTTTGTCGGGCTGTGCCCCTGCGAGCCTCGACCAGGCCAGAGCCACCTGGGACAGCATGGTGGGTAGAGAAGATCACGTCTGGCCCTCCAAGGAAGCGACCAGCCCATCCTCCAGGACCATGGGGTCCTGCTATGTCCCGCCCTGGGCTAGGCCCTTGGCTGGGGTGAGGGGTGGTCACTGACCGGGAGGGTGGCAGGGAAGTGGGAAAAGTCAAAAGCCAGAAGGGGACGAGCACCTTGGGCTCTGTCACTCAGATCTGACTCCAGGGCTTGCCACTTGGCCCAGGAGAGAAGACGACTGTGAAGGGACATTTCCCAAGACAAATGCAGAAGAGAAATCGCCAAAGAATACAGATGGGCTGTTAGGGCAGCTGAAGGATGCAGAGTGGGCAGGAAGAGCAGGCCAGGGGCTTGGTTCTGAGGCCAGGCCACCATTTGTCAGGCTCTTGCTACAAGGGACAAAGCCTCCTGTAGAGCAGTCTGAAGATTCCCTCCTTACGAGGTCATGCAGGAGATGGAGGGCTTGCTCTTGGCGGGACTAGATACAAACAGAGGCTTGTTTAAAGGTCTCTTTGCATCTGAGAAAAGGAGGCAGGTGGAGTGGGCCCCGCCCCGAGGCCCCGCCCCTGGGCCCCGCCCCCGAGGCCCCGCCCCCGAGGCCCCGCCCCCTGCGCAGCGCGGTGGCAGGCTCAGCTCCTGAACTGCGCTTTGGGTTGTTTCAGGTTAGTAAGGCCGTGTCTGCCTTTTCTCTTCTTGGAAATGTGTTTTCTGTTCTCTTTATATTCTTTAGTCCTTCAGATTGCTGATTTGGACTTCAGATTTTCAAAGAGCATCGTGGGCTACAGAGGCACAGTTGCTGTGGGTCTGAGCCCCAGTTTTGCTGAGCTGAGCGTTCTCAGAGCCCAGGCCTGCGAGGTGCAGCCAAGATGGCAGGAGCACACGTGCGGGTCGGAGCCTCTTTCAATTAAAAAGCGTCCTCTACCACAGTGGGCTCGTGCTGTCATGGGGTGGAAAGAGGCACACTTGCTTAAAGCCCTGGGAATTGGTTAGTCTTAGAAGAGGAATATAAGTAAATTAATCAGTTCTGATTATTCCTAGGCACAAAGCCCCAAGTTGAAACTGTCTGCTCTCCTCTAGATGCCACCAAACTGGAAATGACTGATCCACACTGGCTGAACAGCCACACCCATTCGGCCACTTCTGAAATCACAGGATTCTGTGATTCTGCGTCCTGGCCCTCTCTGGAGCCGGCCACAGCCCCCTGGCTGGTTTTCAAAGGTTTCACCCACAGTCCCCGGGTAACCTGCTGCCAGGAACTCCCCCTGAAATAATGTGGGACTGTAGCACTCAGAGCCCCCCACCCAGCCCCAGCCACCTGCAGGGAGGGGCAGAGTCTTAGTCCTTCCCCCCGGTCCCTCACATTTCCAAACCCAAGTTCTTCCCCAGCGTCCCTCGGTCCCTCGTGAACTTGGGTCAAACTGCCCAGCCCACTGTCACCCTCACCACGTGGACATGGCCGTGCCCCTGCTTTCCAGCCATTTCCCTTCGGGGCCACAGGCCTGGGCTTCCCCAGCCTCATCATCCCTCCTCCCCGGGCTCCCCTGGGCCTCCAGTCTGGGGGGCTCCAGGGCCTGACTTCTGGACCCCACTCGCTGTCTTGTCCTGTCTTTCTGCGTCTCGCTCTGCTTCCAGCGGACTGTGGTGCCCCTCCCTCTCAGGTCCAGTTGCAGTTTTTTGAGGACAGGGCTTTGTGTGCCCCATTCTGAAACCCTGCTGTGCTGGAGGCCGTGTGTGTGTGTGTGTGTGTGTGTGTGTGTGTGTGTGTGTGTGTGTGTGTCCCCTGAGCGCCATGTCCTGCGCGGTGAGTGCCGTGCTCATCTGGAAGGGAGCAGTTGGCCTGGAGCCGCGGCTCCCACTCCACACTGTCCTTCTCCTGCGGGGTCCTCGTGCCTTCCTCCCAGCCGCTGTGGACGGCTGTGCTAGCTCACTGGTTTCCAAGTGTCATGAGATTCCTCCGTGGACCCTGCTCACCCTCTGCCACTGCTGTCCGGCACCCACCTCTTTTGGGGATGCCAGTGACCGGCTCCCAGATCAGGGAAGAGGCCACGGGCTCAGGGTTTGTCAAGTTGGAACCCAAATATCTGCTCTGGCGGACGGTGCTTTCTGTGCTGGTGAGCCCCGCCTGCAGCCCACACAGTGTGGAGTGCCCCTCTGAGACCTGCCCAGGCTCCTCACCCCCTCACAGCAGGGCCCCACTCAGCCGGGTCATCTCTTCAACTCCCTCTCTGGTTTGTTGAACAGGCGAGTGGGGACATGTCTGGGACGCATGGGCAGAAATGTTGGCTTGCCGTGGTCCCAGCTCCATCTGCAAATGCAGCAACTGCTTGTTGAAATACCCAGGAGTCACCTGGAGAGGCTGTCTGTGCAGGACTTGGCCCAGAGGGCCCGGGCCAGAAGCCCTCTGCTCTCACCCTGCTTCACCAGAGAAGAGGTGCCCTGACCAGTCTCCACGCACCCCCGCCAGGGCCTCCCCTGGCCAAGCCCCCGTGTCTCTCTGAAGCTGTCACTTGTTCTCCCAGCACTGCTGAGACCTGAGAGCCCCTGAAAGACCTCGACAGCCCTGCAGTGCCTGCTGGCCGCCCTGGGCCCTCCTGAGGTCAGGGGCAGCCCCTCTCCATGCCCCTCCTGCAGACAGCTCCCTGCCCTCACACTCCGGCGGGTGTGACTGGAGCTCAGTGCTGACTGTCGCCCCCTGCTTCCGACACGCTGGGCACTTAGAGGACTGGGGTTCAGAACCCCAGGGCCTCTCCTAAGACGTTCTCGGGTGGCCCACATCCACACACAGGAGCCTTGCTCAGGGAGACGAGGGTGTTCACACCGAGTGGGACACGGGAGGATCTGATCCCTTCCTTGGCCTTCAGGTTGGGTTCCACCACAGGAAACTCGAGTTTCAAAGTCTGGACATGCATGACCAACGGCCGCCACCACTGCCCACCTCCTGCGCCAGGACCTTGCTTTTGCCTCTTGAAGGAGGTGCAGGGACGAGAAGGGGTTCTGGATGAGGGGGGAGCAGGTGGCTGGAGGCTGAACTCTGGGAAGTGAGGTCCCCAGCGTCAGCCAGGCTGCAAGCCCAGAGCCTCCCACTCAGTGGCCAACCATCCCCGTGGACTGGCTCCCCAGCCCTGTCCTTACCCTGTGTCCCCACCAAGACAGGGCCGAGAAGTGGTTGCCAATGTGAAAAGCCAGCCAGAGCGTTTGGTTCTCTACGTGTGCCTCACCTGGGGTGTTGGTTCCAGAGGAACCTGGAGCTGGGCAGCCCAGGGGCGAGGCTGCACCCATCCACATGTCACAAGACAGGGCCCCTCAGGCTGCCCAGGCGACACCGACCTCACGTCCTCTCCTCTTCACACAGAATCAGTGGTCGGTATTCAAAGCTCAGGAGATTTCCACTGGGAGTTTCAGTTCCACTGAAGGTTAAAGATGTCTTTCAGTTGTCCAGGGTTCTCTCTGAACAGCTGGACACTCCCACACTGCAGCCTGGTGACAGCCGGGGGCTGGAGGCACCGCAGTCACGCAGCCCCTGCACCTGAACACTGAGGAGCTGGAGGTAGGTCCTGCAGAGAGCGCAGAGGCCGTCACGCAGCTCACTGGACTGTCCCAGGCTGGTGGCATCATCCCCTGTCTCAGGTCGGGTGGGGACTGTGCGGTTCTTGTTAGAGAGCAAGGACTTCAGGAAGCATGACACAGTAAGGTCACATCGCCAGTGCCATTGTAGTCACCAGTGAGCAATAGGGGAGATGCAGGAGAGATGGAAATGGAGAATCTAGGGGACACAAGTCCATCTAGACAAGCGGTACCGTCGCTTGGGCCAGAGATAGGAAAGAAATCTGAGGGGTGACAGCAGCAGACGCCCAGCCCCAGGCCAGAGCCAGCAGGGGGCAGGGAGCAGCGTCCACTCCTAAGACCACAGTCCCCATGTGGGGCAGCCAGATCCTGGGTGGCTTCTGGAATCCAGGCTCCAGCACCCTGGAGGGGAGGCTGGGAAGAGCTGCCCGGGTGCCGGGGGGCCAGGGCTTGCAGAGGGCTGGGTCAGGAGGCTGGGCCAGGCCAGCCTCAGGGAGCAGCTGCCTGCAGAGGCTGCGTCTGCGAGGACTTCCACCCCCTCACAGAGCCAAGGCCCGGCCACAACACCGCCCTGGGCTGGGCTCACAGAGGAGCAGGGGGTTGACGAGGACAGCAGGTGCAGCCGCTGCTAAAGTGT